GCTCTGTACACTCATTTTACTGAGAGCCTCGCCTGGGGCAGACAGTGCAGTGTCCTGCAGAGAACATCAGGTGCAGGGGGATTTCCAGCTTCCGTGTACAAATGCAAATGCAACAGTAAGTTCTTGCAACCTCACATTTTCGCTGCCTTTTGTTTTTGGCAAAGTCTGACAAGAGAAAATATAAAAACCGGTGCAGGGGGGCATGGTGGGGTGTAAACCTGAGCAGGAATCCTTGACTGATGGTTCACTGACTCTCTCCAGCCTCACCGACAGCCGGAGGAGCAGAGCCCCGGCACTCAACGGGACCGCTCCTGTGGTGTTCCTCCTGTGGATAAGCGTCGTGCCAAATCGGCTCTGTATCTTCTGTAGATTTAAATACTTGGTTGAGTTTCTCAAAGCAGAGGTAAAACAAGCTCAGAGAAAGCAGAGCTTTGAAAAGCACAGCTGAGGAACGGTTTTAGGTGTGTTGGGAGCGGCAAGGCTGGGTGTGCCAAGACACCTGCAGAGCACAGGGGTGTTTCCTGAGGGGTTGGTGGGGGCTGTGTGGGGCCTGAGACCTGCAAAGTGCTCCAGTAGCTGACGAACGGGACCATAAAACCATGAAGCAGTGAACATCTGAGCAGATAACGCAGTTACTTTCTCAGTAGAGTTATTTGTAGGTGAGTAAAATTTACAAAAAGGCTCCGATAATCTAATATACTTTTGCAATATGTTTCTCTCTTAATTGCATATTCCCAGAGTCACACTCCTTCAGACTCTCTCTCTTTCCAGTGACCAGTGCAGGCTGTGCATGCAGTACCCCAGACCAGGGCAGTTTAGCAATTTTATTATTCTGGTTTTTGTGCAATGCGGTCACTACGTAGTCCTGCGGGTAACTGCAGCACTCACATTCAAACCGCACTGAGTCAACAGCTCGGTTCCTCCTCAAGTGTTTGCTCTGTTGTCACGAGAGCGCTGACGTGTTATTACTTACAGGCACAGCAACTACAGGGAGTGTGACCGCGGGGCAGCAGGAGCCAACGCAGCAGCCGGGAGTCAGTTTGAAGTTCTGCCCCTGCAAGCGTGGGCTCGGCCGTGGGCTCCCGTGCCACCCACAGGAGGAGCGGCAGGAGGGCTTCACCCCTCGCGCCCTGGTGCCTTTTTAGGCTGAAACAAGTGAGAGGGAAATGGGGTTCACCCACATCCTTCGCACAGACTGCTCTAGCCACCGTCCTTGCCTCGCCGAGCAGCCTGCAGCGGGCCCTGCTGTGCACAGCAGTAGATAGAGCACAGGTCAGACCTCTTCGCTGTCTTTGCCAGGGCAACACTTTCAGAAGATTTCAGTGATGCCATCCCACTGGTGTCAGCCCTTCGAGCAGCCTTGCTTATCGATGCAAAGGTGGTCCAGGTTGCCAGTCTGTAGCCTCGCCTGTGCGGGAGCAAGCTGTGGCAGCGTAATTACATCTGTATCGTGATGCCGGGCTGTTTTATGTACCCTGAGCTACACCCTGGCACCAAGCTCCACAACACCTCTCAAAGCCAGCTGGTAGCTGAGACAGGTAAAGAGGGAAGAGGATAGATCAGTGGATGGGTGGATGGATAGACTGACAGTGGTCTGGGAGAAGTTAGGTCAGATGCGTGGATCGCCTCACTGCCCCTGACAATCGAGGCTGCTTTGCAGCACCCAGCAGCAGGGGTTGCTGTTTAGGAGTTTGAGCAACCCGGGGCTTCGTGCTGCCTGCACTCTCAGCCCTTTCTGGGAGGGCTCACAAGCCACGCACATGTGCGCTTTGACACAGCCAAGAACAAAGAAGCTTGGCTGGTTGCTTCTTCCTCCCCCCTGCCTTTAATGTCACCAAACCCAGCTGCTGCTTTCAACACATGTCCCTTGGCAGGCGGCGAAGAGGAGCAGGCCAAAGACACCGCGGGAAGTCAAGGGCAGGCGCCCGGTGAGGCAGCGGGGAGCGAGACGCAGCTCTACAGACGGAGCCAGCCCTCCTTCGGCACGGCCTGTGCCTCCCGGGGGGTCCCTGCTGAGCACCCACCCGCCCGGCCTCCCGCTGCTCCACAACCTGCTCAGCCCCGCACGGCGATGCCAGGCGATGGATAACATCTCTCCTTCCTTCCTACCCCACCGAGTGCTTTCTCTCTTTTCCCTTCTCCGCTCACCTTCTCCCTGCATGCGTGGGTGATGTTCTCCCTGGCTCCATTTCTTTTCCAGTCAGAAGCTAGTCATCAAAAGTGAGGTCACATGTTGTTTCCAAGGGAAGCAATAAATTAAGACAAATAAAAGATAATAACCACAGCCAGATTAATAGAAGACATCAGAAAACTAAGGCCAAGGGTAATGCTCTCAGCTTCACAGCTTTTCATGGACCCAGCGACAGAAATCCCGCCATCAGCAATGCTGTGTGGACCCTTCCGCTCACCGCGCTTTGCTGTTAGCACTCTTTTACCTTTTCAAGGTCGTTTTTCCAGGCAGCTTTTCAAGGGCCCCACTGCGGGTGCTGGAGGGCACCGGGTGCCACACACCCCCTCAGCACGTAGCACTGGCTGCAGAGAATTCACTGCCTGCTCGGCGCTGGCTGGGTGCTTGTTCCTACCAGCTTTCTGGACCCTGCTCAGCTAAACTACCTTCAGGCTACACTTGCAACGTGCCTAAATAATTCAGTCAGTAGTTTAAATATGCAAAACATGCAGCTCAATCTAGTAAACTGGGTTTGTATTTTAAAGAATTTGGAACTGCTTGGTTCTGGCTGCTGGAGCCTGGGAGGGCAGGGAGGGGGTTGCCTTTTCCTCTACCCCAAAACGGACGCGTTTCAGGGGTGATGACATGATCCCTGTTGCGTTACGCAACACGCTGAGGCTCACGGGCCTCCTTCCATCAGACAGTTTGTTATGATAATGTTAATGCACAGGCTGTCGTCATCTGGCAGCATAACTGCTTGCCTTATGAAATAACTCAGCGTGACAGCTCTGCTCGCTAGCAGGCAGGCCCATGTCTGGCTTCTAATCTGGCATCAGAAATCACTCCCTTTCCTTGAGCTACAGACTAATATTAAACGTTTCATTTGCATTACTCCAGATAATCTGTTGGAGAGCGTGGGGAGAAGGGAGTTACAGCCAAGCTCCTTTAGGAGCCCACACATGAAGCAAACGTGCAACTGCCATCCCCACCACGCCATATCTGCTAGTGCCGTTTGCCATCAGCGCCGTGGCCGTGCTGGAATTTGCATTTCAGTTTCCTCACGTCAGCTGGCGTTTGCGAGTTGAGCGGGTCGGCTCACACGATGCCCTGGTGACAGATCACCACTGACTTTCTTCCCATGTCAACAAAAGCAAAAGTCACGAGGATAATGCAGAATTGCTTCGGGCCGGCGTATGTTCAGCTGAAAAGGTCTCAGTGACTTCCCAGGCATATGCTGGCTGACACGGCGCTGGAGCAAGGGTCTCTGAACAGCCTGTACAATGCAGGCCGGAGGGATTAATCTACTGCTGCGTCGAGATGCTAATACAACGAGGGTTCTTTGTGGCATTAGCAGGAATCATGAGACCAGCTCTGAGATGTCACTGCCTGGCAGCTGTAGGGAGTACTGGCATGGAGCTCCACGGCGGAGAGAAGGAGCTTGTCTCCTGCTTCAAGCATTAAAGCTGCTGAGGGGCAGTGAAAATGCAGTGAGCCCCTCTCTGTTTTGGTGACAGCTCATTTGGGAACAGCCCGCTACCTGTTTCTGAGACTAGGGAGAGTTGTTTTGTTAACAGTGGTTATTTGGAAAGGGACAATCACTTTTCCTTGAGTTTTCCAGGAGCTGTAAAGCTGAGGATGCTGAGAGGTTACTCAGCACCAGGGTCACATCTTACCCGGTGAAGTCACCGCCACCCGTGGGATTAGGGTTTTGCTATAAAGTGTTACAAAACCTGCTGAGGCTGGTGAAACAGTTTGAGTCAGTTCCAGCAGACACACTTTCATCTCCCTTGCCAGCTTTGGGCCCACAAAGCTGTTGGGCCTGATCCTGACCTAACCCCAGCACCAGTGGGGAAAGCTCCATCCCACTCAGCGCATTTGTGCAGGTGGAAAACCAGCATCAAGCACCAGTGGAGAACGTGGGCAGGACAAGGGGCAGGGAGATGTGGCGAGTGGGGATCTGTCACAAAAATTCACAACTGACCCATGCTGACCTCAGTCAGTTGTGAATTTTCACGACAGACCCAAAGACCCCACACTATGACAGGAGGGACCCAAAGATACCACATAGCACCATAGATACCCAAAGTCCCCCTCAGCATGCCATGAGGGACCAAAAGCCCCCCCAAAGCACCATGAACAGAACCAAAGTTCTCCCCACCGTGCCATGGGGGACCAAAAGCCCCCCCATAGCACCATGAACAGACCCAATGCCCTCACGGCACACCATGAGGGTCCGAAACCTCCCCCCCCCCCCACCGGCACCATGAGGGAACCCCCCAAAAGACCTTACATGGCATCATAAAAGGGAGTGAAAACCTCACATGGCTCCATGGGAGACCTGAAGACGCCACAGGGTTCCGCGAGGGGACCCCAAGCCCTCCTCACCATGCCATGAGGGACCAAAAGCCCCCCCATAGCACCACGAACAGACCCGAAGTCCTCCTCACCAGGCTGTGTGGGACCAAAAGCCCCCACAGAGCGCCATGAAGGACCCAAAGACACACCCCCCCCCCCCCCTCACCGGCACCATGAGGGGACCCCCGAAAAGACCTTACGTGGCATCCTAAAAAGGGAGTGAAAACCTCACACGGCTCCACGAGAGACCCGAAGATGCCACAGGGTTCCACGAGGGGACCTAAAGCCCTCCTTCCCCGTCCCACGCGGTCACCCAGACCCACACCGCCCCGTGAGGGAATCCTCCCGCCGCGCCCCGAGGGGACCTTCCCGCCTCGCCTGAGGGGAGCGGCGGGGCGGCGGCGGGCCGGGCCGTCCGCGCCGCCCACATAAGGCGGGCGCAGCCCACGCCGCTCGTCGCGGCGGCGGAGGAGGAGGAGGAGGAGGAGGAGGAAGAAGAAGAAGAAGAAGGAGGAGGAGGAGCGGCAGACGGTGCTGCCTCGGCCGGGATTGCGCGGTCCGAGGCGGCGGCATGGAGCTGGGCTGGCTGCTGTGGGGGGCGGCGGTGCTGCTGCTGCTGCTGCACGTCCTGGCGGAGCTCAGCCCCGCCGTCAACTTCGCGCTGCGCATCGGCTTCTACTGCCTGCTCTGCGTCGTCTGCTCGGCGCTGACGGCGCCCGTCTGCCTCCTCGTCAACGGCGGCCGCACCGTCAAGAACATGAGGTGAGTGAGGGGAAACGGTGTGTGTGTGTGTGTGGGGGGTGTGCCAGCCCTGCGGGTGTCATGGCAGACCCAAGGCGCGGGCGGGTGAAACACAAACTGGGGAGATCGGTTTCAGTCTCAGCTTCTGTGTGTGTGTGTGTGAGGGGGGGGTGATGGAGGCCTCCTTTACCTCAGCGGCGTGGCAGCAGACCCTCAGGTGGCTGCCGCGGTGGCAGCAGGGCTGCCTCGTGATTTGGGGCCGCTCTGCCCCGTGGCTGTGCCCTCCCCTTCAGAGAGACCCCACCTGGGGACAAGCATCCTTTGGAGGGGCCTGGAAGGTGTGAGGATGGTGGCAAGCGGCCACGCTCTGGCGGCTGCACAGGTTTGGGGGAAAGCTTTTGGGGAAAGCTATGCGACAGCAGTGTGCGTTTGTTTGGTTTTTGTTTGTTTGTTTGTTTATCTCTCTTCTTCTAGAAGCAGGGCTGCCCGCTGGCAGATGGTGTTTAATATGCTGCCCTCAGCCTGGTGCGAGGAGCGCAGCTGCCCGGGGCATGCCTGTTGCTGTCAGGCCTTGCTGTGCGTGTCCTCTGACAGGACGCCTGGGGCGGCGGCTTCTACGTGCGAAGGCAGAATTTCAGGGCAGAGCTGGCGCTTCTGTTGGCACCAAAGTAGAACTTGGGCTCTTTGCTTTGCTCTCCCATATCCAGCTTTTTACCTGCTCTAATCATCTGCGCCCAGGCCGGGTTATATGGGTGTGGGGGAAAGGGGAGCCCTGTTGCCTTCCTGCATCCTTTTGGATCAAAGGTTGGGAAGCGTCTCTGCTGGAGGAGCTGGACTTTGCTTTGCAGCACAGCTCCCGTAGGCAAGGCCCAGGGCGGAGTGAGCGGGCGCAGGGCACCCATGTCCTGCCTTGCGGGCTCTGCCCTGCCCTGCCCCAGCACAATGGTCTGCGATCCCTCTGCCATACCCTTAGGTGCAGTTGCCCCAGGCACTGGAAACAGCAGTCTGCTCTGGGATCTCCAGCCAAGCTCTGTTTCCAGCTTTGATTGCCTTGGCTCGCTCAGAAGCAGCTTCCCGATGCACAACCAGCTTTGCAGCTGGGAGAATTTATGATGTCCATTATAGAGACACTCTCTCTATCTTTCTTTTGTTTGGTTGTTTTTTTTTTTTTCTCTACCCTTAAAACTTTTTGTAGATCTCCTGTAAACTTGAAGGAACTGTTTGGGAATGAGAATTCCTTGCCCTGGACAACTCCTCATGTTGAAACTCAGAGCTGAATTTTGGTCAGAACCGCCCTTTTCCTGTAACTTAAGCCCATCGTTTCCATGTGCTGGCACTGGCTGATGATCGTGGTCATGTATTCCAGCCCCTGGGAGGTCCCTGGCTGAGGTGATCCAGCGAGCTCCTTATTTCTACAACATCCCAGTCTGCTTATTCCAGCTCAGGGGAGGGGTTGGAGCAGAGCATGTGCTGGTGGACAGACATCGATAACAGTGTCACTGCCCGGTGCAGAACACCTCGTCCTTTCTGTGCTCCTGGCTCCAGTGCCAAGCTGGTGTGACTTGGAAGAGGTTGCCCCCTGTGTCTGATAGAGATAGAGCTGTTTATCGAGGGGTGAAACCTCTTGCAAGAGCTTCCAATCTGGTAAGCACACTTCATTAATCCTTGAAAATCAGAGGATCCTAAAAAGGCCTCTGGCACAGGCTGTGGCATAGAGCAGAGCACGTGAAGCTGGGGGCTGCTGGCTTTCAGACTCAGGCTGTTATTGATGCACTGGAAAGGCACATTCCCTCTCACTTTTCTACTCTTTCCTTTCATCTGGCAATAAATTCATCAGATTTACAGCTCTCTGCAGCTGTGACTGCACTGTCAGGATCATTCATACTGGCTGAGAAGCTGCTTGCAGGGTTGTAGGGGAGTAGGACTCCTTAACCCTGTGGATGACGTGGCCAGCTCAGCAGGGCTGCTGGTCACCCTGTTCTTCTTCACTTGCTCTGAGCTCTGCCCCTTTGCCTCTTTCAGTGGCTCAGGCCACATCTTGTGCAAGGAAACGCTGACTCCTTACTGGCAGGAGGAAGTTGGGTGGTTGCTCTTGAGTAATGTGTAACCAGCCTCTCCCGGCAGCTACTGAGCAGTGTGACTTCCAGATCAGTGACCTCTTTTTTGGTTGGCAGTCAGAAGGGAGGAGAAGTGGGATTTAGGTCAGTCTGGTGGCACAGCATCCACCGTGACCTCACCGGTTCGTGTCACCCTGCCTCTCCTCACCTGCCCCCTTGTCTCTTCACCTGGACTGTACTCCTGTAACCTCGCTGCGGGCCCGTGGTGCTTGGGAGCTCTGCAGTCTCCCTGTGTCCTTTCCCTGGGTGCAGCTCTAAGCTTTGCAGCAAGTTTGAATGATGGGGGCTGATAGCAGTGGTGTCACTTTAGCTGTGTCACCCACGGGCACTGGCTTGGCCTGAACTCCAGTGAGAAAGCCAGCACCTGGGTGGTCTGCATGGCAGAGCATGCCACGGAGATACGAACCCCACTGTGGGTAGGAGCAAACTGGGGAAAGTCACGTTGGCAGAGGTGTGTGGTTGAAGAGCTGATGGCAGGGGTGGGGATACTTTTGGAGAGCAGGTGCTGGGAGCTGCTGCCAAGCCAGGATGAGACACTAGTTGGGTGCTCACCTCGTGCCCTGGGTGACAGGGATGCTTCCCAGGCTGATGGTGCTGTGCAGCTCTCCAGCTGGACCCTGTGGTGGGTGAGAAGCTGACATTGTCCCTCAGTCCTCTCCTGCAGGGAGGAGATCTCCATCCCCTGTCTGCCAGGGCCCTGAGGCAGGGCATCTAGATGCTTGCCAGAGGGCAGGTCAGCTCCTGCATCTGCTCTGGAGGCTGCTTCTGGGAGCTTTGCACGTGTGCAAGCTCCTGCCTCCTGTCCTGACAAATGGCTGCTCCCCTGCCCAAAATAGACCCTGCGTGCTGCCAGCTTCTGGCTGTGTCCTTTGGCCAAGTTGGAGGGTCCCCAGCAACCACCTGTCTGGGGGTGGTGTAGACGGGCCCTGCTCCCATGGGCTGGCAGGGTCTGGGCCAGCGAGCCGGGGCTGGTTGTGCTCAGCAAGGGCACGGCAGCCTGCTCCATGCTTTGGCAGGGCCGAGTGGAGCTGCTGGTGCCTCCTGCCAGCTGGGCCCCCAGCCCTTGGGTGCAGGGGAAGAAAGCTGGGAGCTTTGTGGACGGACCTGTAGATCCGCTGGGGAAGCGAACTGACAGGCAAAAGCTATTTGCTTGAAGATGGGTTTGCCGGGGGCACCCAGCCTCTGCCAGGCTGCGTGGGGAGCACCCTGTTTGCTGCTTGCATCCTTGTGTTGTACAGGGAAGTATTTCTCACCTTCATTCTCCTCCGTTCTTGGACTCGCCTGGTGTAACGACACCCTGTGTTTGTATCGTTAAACAGCATCTTCCAACACTGCAAGGAGCAGGATTGGCAGAGCCTTCCTTGGGTGATGGGTGTGCAGGCTAACACCCATGTGCTGGGGAGTGGCAGCTCCTAGGAGAACTGTCCGAACAATTTATGGGGCTCTGTTGGTTGCAGGAGGAAAACACTGATAGTATCAGAGCAGACTACAGGCATGGCACAGGGGGAAACAAACAGCACTAAGTGGATAAGGCTGGCAGTGGAAGGAGTGGTCCTTGATCCAGTGTTGAAACCAGCATCTCTCCCTCCTGGACTCTGGAGGAATTCCAGTTTGCTCTCTGTTTGCAGCTGTGCTAGGCTGGACTTGCCTCTTCCAAAGATCTTGTAAGTGAGCCTGGTTGTGAGCTGATGCTGTCAGCTTGAAGGCCATCGAGTCTGGCTGTACCAGACTCAAATTTACAATCAGTTTTCCCTGGGCTTCCATTAAAACTTCCACACTGGGAGTTGACGGGGCTTAGCATGCAACTGAAGTGCTTTGAGCACATGGGGCCATCCAGGACAGACACCTGGGTGGACCACAGAGATTGGAGGCTCTCTGTCACAGAGCTGCTCTTCTCTCCTTCCACCCACCCTGTGTATAGCAGACCCTGTCAACTTCTGGCCCTGCTGCTGTCTGATTGCTCTTCTCTTCTGCAGAATCATCAAAACTGTGGTCAAGAGCTTCAAGTATTTCTTCGGCCTGAGGTTTGAGGTGAAAGGACTGGAGAACTTTGAGGTGGAGGGCCCTGCTATCATTGTGTCCAACCACCAGAGCATCCTCGACATGATGGGTGAGGAGCTGGCGGGGGGGAGGGAGCAGTTCCCTTGCTCACCATCAGAAAAATGCTGCCCACATCCCCTGGCCAAGCAGGCCTGTGCTACCGAGCCAGCTGGTCCAGTTTGTCATTGCTGCCTGCAGGAAGGGACTCCCCTCACTCTGAGCAATCACACCCCTTTGCAGCCCCCCCAGGTACTGTTCAGCTTCAGGTGCTTCTCAGTTCCCTTTTACATCCCTTCCTGGCTGATAGCCTGGCTGGCCTAGCATGCATGTCAGCGTCATGGGTGGCTCTGCTGCGCACCCTGGGGCCAAAGAGTGAGCTGCCTTTTGAGGGGTCTTGCTATAATTTGCAGCCACCCTGCCCCTGTTGTTCTGGTGTGTGAAGAATCTCCTGGTCTCTTGATGGCAGCAGAAACCAGCAGAGAAACAAGGCACTGGCCTGTCCCTGGTCCTCTCCTCCACACCTCAAATCGTGTCTCTTGTCCCATCTGAGTGCAGGTGGAGGGGGGTGGCTGCTGGGTCTCACCCTCTGCCATCTTATTAGGGCTGATGGAGGTCCTGCCCGATGACTGTGTCCAGGTGGGCAAGAAAGAGCTGATGTACGCTGGCAGTGTGGGGCTCATCATCTACCTCGGCGGTGTCATCTTCATCAACAGGAAGAGCACCACCAGTGCCAAAATGGTGATGGCAGAGGTGGCCAAGACTATGACAGCTGAAAATGTGAGTGTGACTGTGGTGCTTGGTGGGGTGGCATGTGTCTGGGCATCCTGGGGTGACGTGGGGGGATGTGGAACTGCTGGTGCTGGCTCGACTGGAGTTACAGCCACCTGCAGCTCCTGGCTGGTGGCTGGGCCAGCAGGAAGGGAGCACTGCGGGTAGATTGCTGGAGCAAAGCCTTATCTCCCCATGCGCAGGTGAAGGTGTGGGTGTACCCTGAGGGCACGAGGAACTGCACTGGGGATTTGCTGCCATTCAAGAAAGGAGCATTTCACCTTGCTGTCCAGGCACAGGTAACAGCACTTTGCTCCTGCACAGGGTCCCTGAATTATGTTGCAGTGGCATTGCAGACTGGTCATGCAGTGATATGGCTTATATTCTCTCAAGTGAGCTGTGTTCTTCTGAGCTCCCCAGCTAAACCACCATTAGGTGTGATAAGTGCTGCCCAGCAGGATCCAAGAGCCTTTTTCATCCCCTGCATGAGTGACTCGACCCCTGTGGATGGGTGCAGACAGTGGAGAAGCTGCCTTGTCCTGTCTCCTGACTGCCCCAGCACTGCAGTCCCAGTGTCCCATCTGGAGGGCAGAGCATGGGGGACGGGCACACTTCATCCCCTAGCTCTAGCTTTGCAGGCAGCTGCCTGGCAGCGTGGTGGTGCAGTGTCTGTGCCCTGCTCCTGGTAGCACAGCTGCAGCACAGAGTTTGCTTCTGGCAGGTGCTGCACTTCGTGAGCTTGCTTGGGGAATCCCAAAGCTGTTGATGCATTTCTCAATTCCCCCAGGTTGCCATAGTATAGTGTTGATTCAGGACTGTTAATGCTAGTGCTTTAGAGCAACATCTGGGCTTGGTCTGTGTGGAAATAGCAGCTCCCTCCCAGACAGCTGTATGGCATTTCTTGGTATGCCTTAAATGCTTTTCCTCTCCAAGACAGCAAGATCCGTGAGCAGTTAGTGGTGGAGCAGAGACACAGCTCCTTGCTTTGGAGAGCTAGAGCTATCAGTGCTGCTGAAGGAGCGGTGGTGCTTGCCTGGGCAGAGCTCTGGGGCAGTGTGCCAGGGACACTGAAGACCTGGCTGTGCTGCCTGTGCCCAGGCAGTTGCTGGAAGCTGGGACACCCTGCTCGGCTCCTGGGTGCTGGGGACTAGGTGCCGGAGAGCTGGCTGGGAGGAGACGGGTGCCTTGCCTTCCCATGCATGCTCTGCCTTGAATCTCGGGACTGGATGACTCAAGGCCTGAGGGGAAACTCTTTTCCCTAAAAGAGGTGCTGTAGCAGGGTTCCTGGGAAGGGAGTAGGTGCCAGATCTCTTGCTGGATTCAACTGGCCAAGCCCAGGGTGTAGCCTGCATTGTACCATTCTCATTCCTGCCAGCGTGATGCAACCGAGGCAGGGGCCAGCAGCTGTGAGAAGGAAAGGACAAGAGTGGAAATGGTACTCACCTCTGCTAACGCTCCCCCTGAATCACCGACTGTAGATCCTGTCTGTGTTATTAGCACTGAGATAATGACTCTGTGCCTGCCCTCCTGGCTGTGTCTCTGCCTGTCTGAAGCTTCCCTGGGAGCAATTGATTGCAACTGGTGACTCCTTTCCTTAGAAGCTGAAGGCATACCAGCTGGCCTCCCCCAAACATGTGCCTGTACAGCATGGCAAGACCTGTCAAAAAAGGCACCCTCCAATGTTTGCAGGTCAGAAGATACCTGAATTTGGAAAACTGGCTTGGGACGAGAAGCCCTGAGAGCCAGTGTTGACCTGAGGCTGAAGTGTAACTTGGCCCTAGTGCCTTGAATGTCCCTGTGCCTTGAGTTGCTGGGGGAGTGGTTTTGATCCCATTTGACTCCTGACTTCCCCAGCCTTTAGGGGAGTGGGTCTTTCTTGTGGGGCTGTGTGTGCCCTGTGTGTCTGAGAGCTGGGCCAGGTCAGCTCTGCTGTGTGGGATTTGCTGCTTGTCTCTGGCCTGCCCTGAGTTGCTGCAGTGCAAGTAACTCCTCTTGTGCCTCTTCTTCCTCCAGGTCCCAGTGATCCCTGTGGTGTATTCCTCCTTCACTACCTTCTATAACCCAAAGAAGAATCTATTTACATCAGGTATCAAGGAGCCTGAGGGTCTTTACAGTCACTTAGAGACAGGACTGATGCCATACACATGTGGAGCTCTGGTTCACATGGGTGTGAGAGGGAAGCAGAGCTGAAGTAAACAGGAGTCATCCCCCTGGGAGTTGTGTGGAGTCAGTTTAAAGCGCTTGGCACCAGAGCCTGGGCTGTGTTAACTCAGGAAAGAATGTAATTAAATACAGTGAGGGATGTTGCAATTAAAAATTGGACACCACCTCTCCCTCTTGTAACTGGCACAGCCCAAGTGATTTGGTGAGGGCTTGTGGGAAGAACCAAGCGTGCTCAGCCTCCTTACCTTTCAATCACGGACCCCTCTGCAAGCAAACCAAGGAAGCTGATCGTATCAAAGCTCTGAAGCCTGTCAGTACAAGTGCTGGGCAGAAAGTTGGCATATAGTCAACCTGGAGCAGTAACTCTTCTTTGGGTAGAAGCCATGCTTGCCATGCTCCCTGCCTGGCTGGCTGGAGCCAGCCAAAGGTTGCAGGGTTGTAGAGAAGCAGATGGAGGGAGCACCTGGTGCAGGCTGTGGCCAGCACGGCCCCGGAGCTGAGCGGGTCCGTGGCCCTGGGCTCCCCCTACTCTCTTGTCCAGCAGGTAGGGGCAGAGTGGCCAGCAGCCTTGCAAGCTCTGCCTGGGGTATCACTTTGGGGCACAAGGGAAGTGCTCTGCGTGGCGCGGCTGTTTGAGGGCAGGGTCTAATCCCAGGGGTGGCTGCCTGAAGCTCTGTGAGGGGATGAGGCCTGTGCTGGGGCTGCCCAGGGTGGGGGGAACAGGGGTCTTGGGAGGGCAGAGAACGGTGCTCCCGTGGCTTGTGGGTTTCTCCCAAGCTCTTCTTTTGTTCCCAGGCAAAATCAAGGTTGAGATTCTGCCTGCAATAGAGACCAAAGGCCTGACATCAGACGATGTCTCTGACCTCACTGACAGATGCTTCCGCACCATGAGGGAGACCCTCTTCAGGCTGTCCGGCCGTCCAAGTGAGGCAAAGGACTCATCGTAGATGCTTCTCCAGTGGTGTCACCATGTGGTGGTGGCTGAAGGGACCTGTCTGTTGCCAAATACCCAAGGAACTTCTCTTCCTCTGCAGTGACTTGTAACTCTGGGAACACCACAGACTGGCACACACGAGGTGTCGAGCCAGCACTGAGGTTCCCCGTTGAGTGGATTTCTCCCATTGGGTTCATTATCTCACAATGAAAAGTCTCCTTTTTATGAATTTCTCAGGCATCAAACTTGTGCTGCCAAAGGGCTCGATGACCCAGAGAGGTGAGTTCCCCCAGCTCAGGCAGCTGGTGTGGGGTGACAACAAAAACCTGGCCAGAGGCTGGGCTCTGCCTCACATGAGTGTCCCTGCACACATGTTTGTGCTGGCCTGGCCCTGTGCTGTCCCAGGTGGAAACCACCAGACAGCAATTTGTATCTGCACATCCTTGATGCTGCTCAGTGGGGCTGAGAATTGGGTGCAAATCCAGACTCTGGCTCTTTGGCAGCACTGGGAGCGCAGTGTCCTCCCTGGGCAGCCCGGAGCACTGCCACCCTGCCCCGTGGAGCTCACGCTGGTCTCTGGGGTAGGGCCTGTCTCCTTGAGAGACGCCCTTGGGTCACAGCACCATCTTGTGCTGGGGTTTTGTGTTGCCCAGGCACTCCTTTCACTTTGGAAGGAAGCACCTAGGGCCAGTAACTTCAGCTGGGCTGCAGAGGGGGCATGTACGGGGCCAGTCAGCCTTACAGTGTCTCTTGGGGTGTGATTGCCTTGCCTGAACGGGTGCCCTTGCTCACTGAGGGGTGCAGCAGTGAAGATGGAAGCTGCAGCCTGACCAAACCAGCATATATGGTCTGGGCAAAGTTTAGCTGAATGCTGTCCAGCCTTACAAGTTGAGTCATCTTCTGAATGAAACCGCACCCTTGTTTCTACCACTCAGAGCCACCAGCTTGGTTTTATAAACTGCACAAATGTGTTGGAGTCCTGGGCAAACCCGTCTTCACGTGTGACTTGTTTGTGGCACACCTGGATGCCGTGTGCGACCTGCACCTGGGTTGGCTCAGAGCTGCCTCGGTGTTGGGAAACCGCTGCCAGCTCCCTGCCGTGGTGGTGCCGGTGGTTCAGCCTGGTGCCTGCTGCAGGTGCACAGGGCTCTGCTGTGCTCGGTTTTGCCTCTTGTCATGGTCAGCACTGGCCGAAAGATGGTGCCTATCCCGTGTGTCTTGGCTGATCTCAGCAGAGCTGCTGCTCTGCAAGGCTTGTGCAACTCCTGCAGAGCTGCAGGGTGGGTGAGCTGCCACTGTAAGAGGGCTCGGAAGGCTTTAACTCTCCTTTTTTGAGGAAATGGGTTCCTTTCCCTCTTCAGATAAAGGGAGTTCCCCTGTGCTTTGAGGTGATGGACCAGCAGGGCTCCTGGATCCATGGCAGGGAGCTGCAGAGGTGTTGATGCCCTGTGTGAAGAGCACGTCTGGGTCAGGCCCGTGGTTCCAGGGGGGGACCTTCACCTCTCCCTCAGGTTCAGGGAGGCTTGAACTCTCCTGTTCATGGTGCACAGCGTTTAACCTTGAGATGGACTACTCGGGTAACCCAGCGGGTTTTCGCAGCCTGGCTTGGGGCTGTGTTGGTGGAATTGCAGTCAGGGAGCATTTTGGGGTTAAAGCCTCAACAGGGAAAGGCAGGGAGTTCCTGTAGAGCCATCGGTCCCCAAGGGAGGACTGGGGACCCTTGGCCTGAGCTGATGTTTGTGGGGGCAGGGGGCTTTATTGGAGGGGCCTTAGTACAGACTCAGGGGTTAGACCCCTCTGTGGGACGGGTCGGGGTGGGAGGATGGGAACCAAACCAGCACTTTGTAAGAGCAGCAGATAAAGGGCTGTCATGGAGGTCAAACCCAGGAGGGTCCTGGGAGAGCTCCTGGGGGGCATGGCCGTATCCCCGGAGTGACTCCTGCAACACCCATCCCTGGGAGGGGGGAGCAGTGCCTCTGTGCGCAGTTGTCTGCTGTTCAATTTTAATTGGGTTGAGAATAATGTGATGTGCTTTAAAAAAAAAAAAAAAAAAAGTACACCTTTGGTTATTTAAATAAAGGAGACTCCTGGTCTTGTGTGGGAGCTGGGGGAGGAGGGCTGCTGCGGGGGGGAAGAAGGGTGCTGACCCCTCAGCTCCTGCAGGGAGTGGGTTTGGTGATTGAAGGGCAAGGTACTGTTCCCAGTACCTCCCAGGCAGAAGGACTGTGCTGCTGCACCCCAGCCTGGCCTCAGCTGGGAGGACAAATGCCTTCAGGGACCTCTTGCGGGGGAAGAGGAAGGTGGTGCCTGTGTGGGTGGGAGCCCGGGTCAAAGCCAGTAACAATCCCCCAGCCTCCGTGTGCGCTGCTGGAGGCTTTATTTCGGGACAGCCCCTGCAGCTCCCCGGTGCCCAGCTGGCACCGCTCTGCTCGAGGCAAGGAGCAAAGTCTTGCACTGGGTTGGTCGCAGCTGCTCTGCTCTACCGATCCTTGGGCTTGAGCAAACGGTGCTGAGGGCTGGTAGGTGCTGACAGCACCTCCCAGGGTCTGGGAGGGCCTGGTTTACCAGTGTAAGCACTGGGGCTTGCCAGGCCTTGGCCCCCAGGGCAGGAGACTGTCCCTCCCTCCTTAACCTCACCCTGTGGGCACTACTGAGTGGCAGGTTCGTCCCCGTCTGCTCTGTGCTGATGATGGGACTGTCGCAGGGAAAGGTTGATCTATTAAAGCAAGTAAAAACACTCTCTGCACCCTCAGGCCCATGTCAAAGCTTCATCCCTGTTACTGGGACGGCGCGGAGCGCTGCGAGCGTCAGCAGGTGAATTCAGAACAAGCTGCTGCAGCTGCCACGCTGAGGAGCAGCGAGGCACCAGCCAACCTCCAGCGCTGGGGACTGGTCCCAGGGCGCAGAACAGGAGCTGCAGGGACGCTCCCTGTACCCAGCTGGCGCGGTACCTTTGCAGGGACTGGTTGCACCCGTCCCCTGCCGTGATGCCTGGCTTGGGGCTGCCCCTCTGCACCGAGTCCTTTTGGGCCGTAGTCCTCCAAACGCAGGACTCGTCCCCGCCTTCTCTAGGTGGGAGCAGGGGGTGTGGGGGGGCAGCTGTCCTGCCCGGGCCGGGTCTGTGCTCCCCTCGCAGGCAGCACAACCACCCCTGTGCCCCCTGCTCCTGGGGAGGTGATGTCCCAGGGTCACCCTAAGTAAAAGCCAGGCAAAGCACGGCACCACACAGCTTCACGTACAGCCGGTCTCTCTGGCACAGCCAGACAGGCACTAGTGGCATGAGGTAAGGCATTTATTTTCTGCCTCTCCAGCAGGAAGGGGGTGAGATGCTGAGGGCTCAGAGTCCAGTTTGGCAGTAACTGCTTGACCTTTGGTGAGTTGGAAGAGAAAATGATGGAGATGCTGATGGGGAGCCAGCCTTCTCTTGCTCCCCTGTGCCTTCCTGTAGATGATGCGACTTCGTCCCCAGCCTGGGGCTGGAGAGTGAGATAAGAGCTGCAGATGCACTCAGCTTGCTCCAATTCCTCGCTTGCTCGGCTAAAGTTCATTCTTGCAGGAACCTGGGAAGATGGGGAAGAAAAAAAAAAAAAAAAAATCCAGTAATGTTGTTAGCCTGGATTTGGTTTGTCGCTTTTCCCCAAGAGGGATGAGGTTGACCTCAACCTCCCTGAATGTCACCCTGACTCGCTGCTTTCCCTTTGCCAAACACCCCCAGGCTGGCTCTGCCCCGCCGCGTCCGGGAGCGTCGTCCTCGCCTGGGCCTGGGAAGTCCAGTGCAAAGCGTCCGGAGGAGTGGGGAGAGCCGGCGACAACGCCCCCCGGCTGCCCCAGGACGGGAGGCTGGGACCAGCCTGTCCCCACGCCAGCCCCTGGCTCCGTGGGGCAGCAATCGGAAGCGGGTCAGCAATGTCCCCAAGGCCCAGGGAGCTCCGCGGGTTGTGGCACAGCCGAGCGCCGCCGGCCTGGGCCGAAGCGGGGCTGGTTCAGCCTGAGAGGGGCTAAAAAGGTTATGGCTTAAAGAAAGCCAACCTTGTGCCTTCACCGGTGGTTTAAAGAGGAGGAGATGTTTTTCAGTCTTTAGGCACATCCCTGCTGGGCGGATAATTGGAGGGTGCAGTTGTATCTTAGCGTTCGGTTGTGAAATGCTTCACAAGGCAGGGAAAAATGGACAGCTACTTCACTGTCCGTGGGATGCCCTGCAAGCCCCAGTGCTTGCTGGCGTATGAAAGGACAGTCTCGTGTCCTCCAGGGACTTTCAAGACCATGAGAGGGACGAAAACAAGTTTTGCTTGCTGGAACAGGCTTGGCAGAAGTTAATTTGAGGATTTTGGAGTCATCCCCTGGACTAAATCCATGTTACCTTGTGATACTATTCACATTCCTTGGTGCTGCCACTAATAATATGTACAGGGCAAAATTAGGAAACTTGTTCTGCTGGCACACTCAGTGGTTCTGATCGTTACCCCTGTCTGAGATGTTTTTTAAGTGTCTATTTGCAGCTACTTAGTCTTCAAACATGTTCTTTGAAGTCTTTTATATCTAAGCCATTACTGCAAGCAGTGAACTGGGACTGGGTATGCCCTGAAACACAGTTTTCCCTCGAGTCTTTCCAAGCACCCTCGCCCCTCTGCCCTGAGCACCAGGCTGCTGCTGCACACCAGCTCCTGAGCTGGCCCAGCCATGCCCAGTTTCTGGGTGTGTTTGACTGGAGTTATTTAATGGGAAAGCGAGCTGCAAAGAGCTGCCTACCAAAGTTTTCATATGGTTTGTGCTCTGCTCTGAGTCAAGCTGCAGTGCTCCAGGGCGAGCATTGCACACACCTCAGGGACCTGAGGGGATGCTGCCCCGATCTGGGGTGTTGTTGGGGAGCACACCAGGCAGGAACACCCCCCACCCCCCTCCCCAGCCTTCAGCCATTTCACACATGACAGCTCTCACCCCGTGTCTCTCGTTCAGAGTTTGCACATAGGAGACCCTCTCTGGTCCGCTGCTTGGACCAGACTTCAAAAAGAAATGCGTAAAACTTCCCAGGCTCGTAAATCTGCCAACTTTTGCACGCTCCCTAAACTTTCCTGATTGACTTTTTGGACTGTTAATTTCCTAAGGGCTGGGGTTTCTTTTCTAAAAAGTTGTAATGGTACAGGAATGGAACACAGACGTCGTGGGTGCCGACTGCGAGGTGTGACCCACTGCCTATAGTGGGCTCCCACTGATTCTGCCCCAGAGCCACATTTCCATGTGCCAATCTTACGATTTTTGGCTGCTACAAGGGCAGTCAGATGGTGCAGCCATAGAAACAGCTTTGAAATGAAGCTAATGGGCTGTTTTGTGTTCATCTTTTATTAATTACAGGCTGCTGAGCTTGAGGGAAATAGAGATTAATAGTGGCATATGTGTTACTGATCTCGCTGGCCCGCATCTGCGCACCATGGCCAGCGTGGGTGGAGTGAAATACTTCAACCCTGCTTTTTCCAGGCACTTACACGTCTCCAGCCGCTCCTCAAGGAAAGAGATCTGCTCGCTCAGGGAGTCGATTCTGTCCAGTTGCTGGAGGGAGTGGGACAGCCGGCTGATGGGGTCTGCGCCGACGTCCTCCGGCGCAGATGGCATGAGGTTGTGGAAGGGGGCCAGCACCAACTGGAGTTTCTGCAGGGAGAAGGGGAGCCGTGAGCGTGTCCTCCCCGGCCGGGAGGACCACCCGGCAGGACACAGCATGCTGCTGGTCCGGGGGGCATCCCCCCCCCCCCCCCCGGGGTGGCACGCCGGCCGGCTCGCGGGGCTTTGGTCACGTTCGAAGGGCCACTGGGCTGGAAGAGCTGCTGCGTGGGCGCTGGCGGCAGCGTGGAGCACAGCTGGGATCACTGCGGCGTGAGGCCAGGGTGATGTTAAAAATAGAGCCGGGGCGGAGGGAAACCCTGGCTGCCAACGGCCCCGGGGTAGGAGCTGGCTGAGCTTGGCCCTGAGCTGCAACGGGGCCGCGGGGGCAGGACAGGGCAGGGCTGAGCCGCGTGCTGAAAGCTCACCTGCTCCAGCGCTTCCACTCGGCTCTTCAGGTCTTTCATTTCTTCCTTCATTTCACTGGGGGGACCTGAAAAAGTGACCGAGGGAAGGTCAGTGAGTAAAAGCTCATTGCCCTAGATGAACTGGAAGGTGCTGGGGAGAGGCATTGCTGCAGGGCCCGGGCCAAGCTCTGCTGCTTTTCACTGCCCTCCTAGTGAGTCCCTGGGGTCTGTCCCGCTGGGACCAGCCCCCGCAGCATCAATCGGATCCAACGCCTGCTGCAAGCACTGGCATCTAGTCCTGCTGCTAACGGGCACAAGCCTCACCTTGCTGCCGGAGTACCTGCAACAAAGCGGGGAATTTTTCAGGCAGGTGGGGTGATGCTTAAGTGATAAGAGAGCTGGCAAAGCCTGGCCTTTCGTGCCTGTGGTGGCAGATTAGTTAGTACCCGGGTCTGCCCTGTCCCATGGTGGGCACAAAGGATTGTCCCTGCTGAGGGCCCTGGACAGGGGATAAAGGCAGGTGGCTTGTGGGGCACATGCAGACGGTGCTCTGCTCTCCCAGGCGTTTACTGCGTGATGCCTGTGCTGGCCACAGCGCATTATTACTCACGGTACGAGTTTGAAGTGTCACAGCGCGTACCAAAAGTAATAATGGGCCGTCACCAGCGGCGCCCGCCGCTCCTCATGGCTCCGGACTTGCTCTGCGGGAAGGACAACGATGAGGGAGAGAACAGCCACATCCCAGACCCCGTACGCCCCGGCCAGGCTCTGTCACCCTTGCAGATGGAGCAGTGGCTGGATTTGTGCACCGGGGAGGTTGGTTGGGTGGTAGAGGGACTCCTGGGTCACTGAGAATAAAGCTGAGGGGTTCTGGCTGTTGTCCCCGCTCCTGTCTCTTACCACCCGGTGACGCTGAGTGTTAATCCCAGCTTTCACTGAAGGCCCTGAGCAGCCGGGGCTGTCCTGCAGCGGAGAGGGGACAGGTTACCTGCTTGGCTGAAGGTTTCAGGCTCGGGCGCTGGCACCAGGGGCTGGCACGCTTTGTCGTCGGCAGCGAGGCTGAAGCCGTCCTGGCAGGCGCAGCGGTAGCTCCCGGCTGTGTTGATGCAGAGCTGACCGCAGCCGTGGCTCCGGCCGGCACACTCATCCACGTCTGAAACCACAGGTAGGGCTCAGCGAGGGCAGGGGTGGTGAGGAAGGGCTTCCCCGGGGGTGGGGGGGTGAGGGGCTCAGACGGCTCAGCCACACACGGGTTTAGGCGCAGTGGGGCTGCAGTGGGGCCCCAGCGAGTGCCCAGGCCACGCGCGTTTGTGCTGGGCCCAGCTCTGGGTGCTCCCAGCGCTGCAGCGTGTGAGCACAGGGGCTGCCAGCGCCTGGGACAGCTTTTCCTCTTGCACCCGGTGGGAGCAAACCTGAGCTAACCCCACGGGGGATCTGGTCTCCTCCCTCTTCCACCTACTCCCCCCCCCCCCCCCCCCCAAAAAAAAAAAAAAGAGCCAGAACAAAAAGCTGTGGTCAGAAATGTCCCAGCTCTGGCCAGGCGGGCACAGGCAGCACTCAGCTCTCATCCTGGATTTATGGCCGGGGTTTTGGTTCCAGCCAGCCGTGGCCGAGGAGCTATCAGCCTTTCAAGTGTGTACAAAACCCAGTAACCTCTCCTCACACGGGGGAGTTATTAAAGCTGTTCCCACAAAGCAGAATGAGCTGAACCGCTTCCCACGCCCAGGCGAATCTGTTTTAGGCAGTGGGAAAATCCTCTCCCCCCCCTGTGCTGGAGCCCGAGCTGTCAGCAATGTGCTCAGCCCTGCCTGGCCCAGCGTGGGTCAATGCCACACGCTCCTCCCCTGCCTTACGGGAGGGTGGAAAGCCAGGAAACACCGTGGCAGGGGTTTGCACCACGCTGCCTGATTTCCCTGTGCTCTGGTGAGGAGCATCGGGCTGCTGTCACGCTGGAGAGGAGCTTGGTGCCTGGAGATTGCCAGGCTTCCCCTCCACCCCCAGATATTTTCGGTTTACAGATTTAGTCCCTGCAGTAAATGGGCGTCTTAGTATACAGCAAGAGCGTACAAAGCCTGGGAGATGGGTCATTACAAATACACAATCTCAGGCTGACCCCACAAGCGTAAGGGCTGCTTTGCAGAAAGCCCTTCGCTGGCTGCACAGACATGGCAGAGTACAACCTCTGCTCGTGCTGACCCAGCACAGAGCAGCAGCGGAGAGAAAATGTAGATGCCAGGGCTGCATGTGAGGGCTGGGAGCACTGAGGCAGCCGAAGGCAGGTCCGAGCTCCCCTGGGAGCTGAGCTTCCCGGCCTTTCCGTCGCTGCCCTGGAGCAACACGTGTAGTTGTGCACGTGTGTGGGTGGGTGTGTGTGGAGGGGTGACACACTGGTTTCCTCTCTGTGGTCTGAGTAGCACCAGGCGTGTGCCAAGGCCTGGTGAGGAGCCACAGTGCTGGTCCCTGTCCCCCCATCAAGGGGTCAAGTCTGTGGGCAGAGAACCTCCAGAGCCCCATGGCAGCCCCGCTGCTCCCCGGAGAAGCTGGGAGCCCGGAGGCGAGCGGCGTGGCTGGTACCTGTCTGGCAGGCTGGCCCCGTCCAGCCAGGTGGGCAGGCACATCTGCCAGGGAAGGCACAGGTCCCGCCGTTCTGGCACGGCACCCAGCAGAGAGCTGCAAGACAAAAAAAAAAAAAAAAAAAAAGAAAGAGCACAGCGTCATCAGGCAGCTCCAGGGGTCCCGATTTCCCTTCCCCTGCTACCGTGGGGGCGTGTACACACAGAGCAAAACGTACCCCTGCACCAGCCCCGCAGCGGTGGGGTTGAGCTGACTGGGGTGCACGGGGTGCAGGATGGGTGGGATGAACAGGATCCTGGGTTTGCAGAGTGGAAAGAAGCCAAAGTGCTGGCAGCCAGCAGAGCTGGGAGGGACGGGAGCCGACGGGCAGCAGCAGGCCCTGGGGAGCCCCTGGTGCTGCACTCTGAGCTCATCTGGGGATGGACTTGCTGCTGATGTGTTTTGCATTTGTTTTGCGTTGTACATCACAATTGCCTCCTGAAAGCATTTCTCTTCCATTACTGCTGATTTATGTGGAAAGGACTTACTCGTTTTATTTATCCTCTGGTAACTATAAAGTTAATAAGCGATCCCAAAGGAAAAAGGCCTGCGAGGCAGTGGAGAAAGGCTGGGAATTAATCAGAAATTGAACCACATTTAGTTGTGACGCCGAAAATTTAAATGCTTTCCTCCAGGGAGAATCCGCCTGACAGGCAGAGTGCCGGTAAATGAGCGAGCTGGCTGCTGGGGCCTCATCCAGGGACCTGAGCTGCACAGCTCCTGGGCTCTGGGGAAAGGGCAAGCGCTGGCACCGGGGTGGCACAGCAGCCTCTTACCTCTGTTACAGCTGAGCGTGTGGCCGTTAGCTCTGCTCCAGCCGGGACAGCACGAGGCCGCGGGCTGGGGCAGCTGCCTGTACGCCTGCCGGTAGGCAACCCTGTAGATGGTCCTGCAACGCAAAGATGGGGCTGAGACGTCACCGAGAACCCACCCCGAGTCCCCCCATCCCCTTCCCACACCCGTGGGTCAGAGCCCCGCTGGCACCTCCCAGGCTGGGAGCCCCTTCCCCACGGATGGAGGCAGGACCCCCCGCCCCTTCCGCAGCCCCCCCTCCTCACGGGCTCGCTGGGATGGATCCGGGTCCCTGTGCGGTTCCAGGGCGGTGGTGCAGGTGGCTGCCCTCACCTGTAGGTGCTGCAGAGGCGGTGGCCCTGGCAGGTGGTGAGGTAGGGCTGGTAGACGGGCTCGACGTGGGACTCGGCGTAGGCGGCCGCCCGGCTCCGCGGCCCCGCGGCGCAGACCCTGCGGCTGAGCAGAGGGGAGCGGCTCAGACCCCGGCTAAAAACCAACCCGGCGCTTCTCCCTTCGGGGCAAAGGGCCTCCATTGATTTACACCAGCCCAGGACGTGGCCTGACAGTCCCTGTCTACAGAGGGCTATTTAAATGGCAGTGGCTAATTGCCCGAGTGACCTGGGAGGCTACTTCAAGCTGTTTCGGGGCAGGGACACAAAGCTGGAGCACTGCTGGCTGCGCAAGCTCTTCCTCCCTGCTGACGCCTCCTCGTACACTCACCCCAGTACAGTCCCTCCATCCCGGGGGAGCAGTTGGGGCCCAGATTTAAGGGGGATTTACTCAGAGCAGTTCTTCTTCCATTCATTGCCTCCCTTGTCCTAAAATCACTGGCTTTCTGGGTGGATTTTTCCTTTCTGAGACTTGCACGCCTGAAACAGATCCCCCTGTGGTCACCAAAAAATTAATGATCTCAGAGGAAGGGTCAGGCTCACCTCAGAAATGTAGAGGCCAGATGAAAGTCACTCTCCAGTCTTCCTAACACAATGTGATGTAGTCAAAACCTTTCCCAAGGTTAACAGCCAAAGTTAAAAATTCTTTCTTTCAACATTTTTCAGCCCAAGCAGGTCAGTCCCACTGAGGAACTCATCTACTTGTCTCAACCTCCCAGCCCAATTAGAAACTAGAATAAAAAGCCTGGGAATTAGCATGGACATCAGATGGCTTCCATTAACTCCAGAGAACTCCCCTCAGCTTTGCTGATTAATGCTATAGAAGATGCAATTTTTAAATGGCAATTGTTTGCTTTGCAAAATTTAGAATAAAGCTATAGCTGCAGTCTGTGCGTGCGAGCAAGGAATGCAGCCTGTGGTTTTAGTCACGACCAGAATGCAAAAGGTTTAACACGAGAGGAGAGTATTTCAGTGCAAAAACAAACTTTGTAGAAGATGTGAGCTGCATCTGGGGGGTGGGCATTGAGCTCAAGCTCCTTTTGGCTGGGGAAGAAACTGGGGCACCGAGCTCTGGGCTTCCTCTGACCCAGTGGGAGCCGAGCTGTGCCTGCCCAGGCTGTGCCGGGATCCAGGGCGCTATGTCGGACCTGTTTCTTGGAAAGAAAAGGGGAATCTCTGGAGCTGCCACTGGACCACAGCTGCTGCACCCCAGGGAGCACAGGGCACAGCAGGCAAAACCCGCCAGGGCTTCCCACGCCTGCGTCCCCTGAAAGCATCCTCCGAGCTGGGAGGCTGAGTCCATCTCTGATGGCTTGTTTGCAAGGCTTGATTGGTGTGATAGCAAGTTTGCACGCATATTTTTGTGCAAGGATGTACTTGAAAGAGACAATAATAATTCATGAACAGCTCAGGGCCTGATTAGCTTTTGATTCTCCCAGACAAAAAGCCCAGAATGTTTTTGTGTCCCCTGCATGGAGGTAAACGGAGCCAGGGCATTTTCTCTGAGAGGTTTTTTTCACTTCAGTGAAAAAACAAACACCAGCAAAGGGCTGCTGAACCTTGGCTGCCCCAGGAGGACTCGGCAGAGCCTTTTCCCACCTCCTCACCAGCCCAGTGGAGCTTCCCACGCGTGTGTAGCTGGCTGGCTGAACAGGGCTCTTCATCACTCAGAGAGGATGCGCCCCACTGTGACATGTAGACAGGCACGCCTGGGAGATGTAGACAAAAACGGGGCTTACCCAGCCCGGGCAAAGCTGCTTGTGCCGGTCACGCTGAGGATGAAGAGGAGTCCTGAGAGGAGGCAGCCGACGCGGCGCATGTCCCGTCCCTCCCGCGGCGCCCTGGGCTGTGCGGCACGACCGAGCGTCACTGGTGGGAAGCGCTGGCTCCTACTGCATGTCTCGCCCTTCAGCGGGGAACCCTGCGAGCAAGAGAGGAGCAGAGTCAACGTGGGGTGTCTGTCCCCAGCCGGTGACATCTGACGGAGCCGTGGGGACGGGGCCAGCCCCCTCTCCCGGGGTCAGAGGGATGGCCCCGGGCGTGCACAGACCCTCCGAGGGCAGCGCAAGGGGCTGGGGCAGGAGCACGCTTGCTGGCAACAGAGCAGGGTGACGTGCTAAAGCACAGGGGACGAGGGGACACGAGGGACCCATGAACCCCTTGCAAGGCGGGTGCTCCTCCAGGTGCAAACCCGCTTTGCCCCACTCGAGTCACCGGTGTGGCAGTGGTTTACCCCGGGGGGATACCTGGCCCGGCAATGCAGGAGATGCTCTTGTGGCACCAGAGACCGTGGCAGGGAAGGGACCTGTGTCGCCCTGAAATAAACTGCCAATTCCAGGCAGCGAGGGCAAAACAATGGCCTGTAATTTCTTAATCCATACAGCGTTGTAAAACTGCATTTTCCCACCACATAATACACTGAAATCTGACCTTCTTCTCTTTAAAATACAAATTCTTGCCAGAGAAAAGTGCTGTAAGGGCCATATGTACCGTCTGGAGAGTCGGTACTGAGTCACGAATAAAGAGGCTTTGATTTTCTAGCAGAGGACAAATATGAAACAAGGCTGAAGAAGGTCAGTAACAATACCTAATTTAAACTATATCTACTTGAAACAAAACAGTTGGCCTCCGGATGGCAGCAGTTAAAGGAGGAAGGAATAAAGAAACCCACCTTAAACATACTTGAATTAAAGACAGAATCAATCTTTCTGATTAAACCTTGAGAAAGGAGTGGCTTTATGGGGAGGCAACACAAAATGCAACATCCTTCTGAAACTGCAAATATGGTGAGCTGCAAATAAACCTTCTAAAATCCCCAGGTGATGTGGGGTGGGGTTGGACTGGAGAGTTTCAGGTTCACCTCCTGACTCCTTTGGGACAGTTCCTAACTTCGAGCCAAGATGTTAGGGGTAACCATCCCAAATCTGTAGACCCTGCAGGTCTCAAAGCCCTTCTCCAAGGCACTCAGTATCATCTTCTCCTTTGTGCAGGTGAAGGAACTGAGGCATGGAGAGATGCAGACCCGCATCTGGAGAGAAACCAGCCTGGTGCCTTCCTGCCCCCTAATACCAAACACGTTGTGCATATTTCCACGCAGCGATAGCGCGGAGTGGGCGGGCGGCTGAGCAGCCCCGTCCCCTCCTCACCCAGGCAGGGGCTCACCTCAGCCCACGAGCAGGGCGCACTTTGCCTGGCTGAGCTACAGGGAGCTGTCGTGTCACAGCAAATCGGCTTTATTGCTGTAAAACAGAGCTGGGACCTCCCTCAGTCCCTGAATTCTGCGGTACTGTGGAAGCTGAGGGTCTGGCTCCAGGACAGCGAGGGATAGCGACATACCCACTCTGTTCCCACAGAGCTCAGCCCAGCAGGGAACTGAGCTCAGCCCAGCACGGGCCCATCTGAACCTCTGTACAAGCCCAGGTTTGAGGAGGTAAGGAGGATTTTGGTGATATAAAGCCTTTGGTCCTCCATTCTCCTCCAAATGTAGCAATCTAATTCATCTTCTAATGATTAATATATGGTATCTCCACCATCAGGAAATCAAATCTTGGTTAACCTGTAGGAATTTAAAAAAAAAAAAAAAAAAAAGTGAAGGAACCTTCTTTCTCCCCAGTCCTCCTGGAGACATCCCAGGGACACTACTGTATGGAGACATACTAATTCCCCTTTGCTCAGCCAACCAGCTTTTCCCAGGGCTATACTGGGACACATATTTTCCTTACAATCACAGATCCTCAGACTAGCAGTGCTTCTCCAGAAGTCTGTAAGTAAAACTCTGCCAACCATCTCTGTCCTCCCACAGGATTCCTGTGTCTGCTTTGGGAGCTTTCCCTGTGGGGAAGGCAAGAAACACAGGGCACAAGCCTAAAATATAGACAGTTTGGTTTTTTGCTTTGAAATGGAGCAGCACTGCCCTACCTCAAGTGGTCAGAGTATCCCTCTGGGTCATAAAATTATGGTTGCTTCATACCAGAAAAAGTTTCAAAAGTGGAAAATATGATAACCTATACTTGTCTTTTTTATGAGTTTATAAAAATCAGCCTCTTTAAAGCCACTGAAGATCCTCCAACCTGTTGCCACTATCTGTTCTAACAGTCCTCTTTTAAAGCACATAACTCAAGGAAAATCTTTTCATGCTTAAGGAAAAAAAAAAAAAAACAAAAACAAACCACAGAGTTTTTTTGTCATTGCCTTTCTAATCTCTCATATGAAGAGGTGAAACCCCATGGTTTGTCAAGTGAAACTATGTGGGTGCATCTGAGCTTCTGCTGTTTCAGGGGGCAGCAAAGTCTCCTCAGCTGGCCATGTGCTCCTCTGGGTCTGGGGGTCCCCCCCTCTCATCAGCCAGAAACGTTCCTGTAACTCTCCTAAGTCTGCTCTTTCTTAACCCGCTGCAGCAACCAAAAGGAAAATACAACCCACCGTGTAGGTGAGCAGTGCTTTGTCCAGCTCTGCCCATGAAACCAAGGCTAAAACTCCAGCTGATGGCAGCAGCAGGAATCGGGGTCTGTCTGCAAAGTGATGCAAGAGAATCCGGTCCCTCAAGAGGATGTAATTACCCTCATGGGAATGCGACAGATGCGCTTTTGCAAACAGCCTGGCCTGGTTCTGCAGGTGAAACCACTGCTCCCAACCTCGCGTGGGCCCCGGTCTGTGCCCTTAGAGCCAAACCCTCCTGGAGAGGGGCAGCGGCAGCAGCAGCAAGATGGATTTTCCCCTTACAAACGCCTCCGGCTGCTCTCTCCGCAGGCTGGGAGGCAGGCGCGGCGGAGCACAGGAACAGGGATGCTGGAGAGATAGGGCACGGGGACGCGGGGACAGCGCGGGGCTGGGTGTGGGGACGGGGACACGGCGGGGCTGGGTGTGGGGACAAGGACACCGCGGGGCTGGGCGCGGGGATGGGGACACCGCGGAGATGGGCGCGGGGATGGGGACACCGCGGAGATGGGCGCGGGGATGGGGACACCGCGGAGCTGGGCGCAGGGATGGGGACACCGCGGGGCTGGGCGCGGGGATGGGGACACCGCGGAGATGGGCGCGGGGATGGGGACACCGCGGAGCTGGGCGCGGGGATGGGGACACCGCGGAGATGGGCGCAGGGAGGCTCACCCCGGCCCGCAGCAGGCCGAGCCCCGCTCCCCCGGGCGCTGCACCCCCCGGGGCAGACAGAGACAGCAGCGCCGCCGCCGCCCCCCGCCTAAAGACACCCCCCCCCCGAACCTTCCCCACCCCCTCACCCCCCCTCGCTCCCCCCCGGGACTCTCGGGACCCCTCGGCAGCCCCCACTGCGGCAGCGAGTCCCGCTCCACGAAACGCTCCCCCCGTCCCTCCCCGCTGCAGGATGCGGCCGCAGCCCTCCCTCCCCCCCCCCACCTCCTCCGGGGCATTGCCGAGCTCCCCCCCCCCCCGCCGGGACTCACCGGTGCCGGTGCCGGAGCCGCGGAGCCGCCGCCGCGCCGCGGCCCCCCCCGCATTTCCTCCCCCGGCCCGAGCCGGTCCCTCCGCCCCGGCCCAATGAGCTCCCGGCGGGGAGGAAAGCGGAGCCTCCCGGTCGGGGGGAAGCGCCGGGGCCCGGGGAACCTCCGCCTGCCCCCGCCCCGCCGGCCCCCGCGTCCCCACCGAGGTGACCCGGCTCCCCGGGGGACGTGCAGGGGACAGGGCAGGACCCCCGGAGAAGTCCGGTCTTTGGGGGGCACATGCAGCGACAGGCTGGGTTCCCCCAGAGATGCCCGGTCTCGAGGAGTTGTGCAGGGACACGGCAGGACCCTCGGAGAAGTCTGGTCTTGGGGTGGGGGGACATGGAGGGACAGGGCAAGACCCCCCCAAGAAGCCCAGCCCAGGGTGGGGGGGACATGCTGACGCCGTGCCCCGTATGCTGTCACCGCTGAGCTGACCCCAACGGAGCCGGGATTGCGGGGGACCCCTGCCCTGGCATCGACCTGCAGCCCCCCCAGCCCGTTTCTGCACGCCCCACACTAGGAGGACACAAGGTCCCTGACCCCCCACTCCCCCCAAGACCAGCTCGCCTGAGTGGGCAGGGGATTAATGGTGAGAGGAGGAGACCCCAGCAGAGCCCCCAGCCCCTCACCCAGGGGTGTTCAGACTCCCAGGTGAAATGGTCCATCACCAGTGCAGCGGCCAGGGCGGATTTATTTCCCTTTGCTAAAAAATACTGTAGCTGGTTCTGCACTCCCCAAGAGGACATATAATTATAAGACATATATTATTGATTCCCCTGAACTCATGACAACAGCAAAGTCCTTCAGAAGCAGGCAGTGAACTGCCAGGACAGGGAGGCTGGTTTCCAGTGAGCCCTAAAGGATGCTTGAAGGATTCCTTGGCCGCCCCGCTGGCTGCGGAGCGGCGTGAGGGTCGACCCGGAGAGATGCCCAAATTCAACCCACAGACCCACGCAGGGCGCAGCTTTGCCACTTTGCACAACACCTGCCCGGGGACTGATCAAGCAGGCCGATCCCAGCTGCCTACAGGCTTCTCGTGTTAAATGCCTGGTTATTAAAGCAAATTCTGCAGTTTGGCTTGTGCCAAACTGCCACTTGTTTTGTCTACATTTTTCTCTGGGAAATTAGAGCACAGAGGCTTATTGTTTTTCAGATGACTTAGGCGCCTACCCATGCACAGAACCAGCCTTAATGATAGCAGGGGTCTGATGTGCAAATGAATGGCAGGATACGACCCCCTGGGAATGAATATTTGTTCCCATTAAACTTTGCAATTTTTTTGAAAGCTTGTAGACATTTAAAGGAAATATTTACCAGTTAATAATGGCTCTGAAAGAGAAACTGAGATCACTGGCCGATCCCCTGTATTTCCTCATGGATACGTTGAGGCTGCTGGTTGAACTGGAGCTGTCTCAGGTTATGTTGCACCCTCCCGGGAAACTGCGTGGGGCTCTCAGGTGGACCCGTGTAAAAGGACCATAAACTGCTTTGACGAGATCCTCCCTGGGCAAGGGAGCAGAGCAGAGGGGAATCAGCTCCGGGACATGCTGGTGAAGCTGAAGCTCCATTGCTGGGGACGACAGGGTGTGCGGAAGACAGGATCCCTCCCAGCAGCAAGCAAAAGGCTTGCTGGTGCTGGTGGAAACACAGCTCCACGTTACACAGCACCTCGCATGGCACAAACAGGTTTGCTCACTCTGTCTGGATCCAGCCTAGCTCTGGGGAATGATTTCAGCCCATTTAATCTCATAAATACGAAGCACAGGCAACTTTTCCCAAGAGCCTTGAAGGGATGGTAATTTTCTTATTATGCAGAGAGTGCTAGGTTTTTTTTTTTCTGGTGTATGGGGGAGATGAACAGAGCCTGATACTCAACTTGTCTAATAATTGCAAAATGCATTTGGAAGCCAATGGAAAACTTCTCCGTCTGACCATACCGAAAGCACAGGATCTCGCTTTGTAGCCGAGACACTCACCTTATCCTCAGTGCTCCATCATTTGTCCCAGGCAGGGATCCTTTCCTGAAGGACCATCTTGCTTTCCTACTGTCAGAACAAAAAAAGCCCACTGTTACACTCCCCTTGTCATGCAGGCAGAGATCAGTGACCTGCCCTTGCCCACGGTGGACCTGGTGTGGGTTCCCTGGAAGCTCCCAAAGGTCCTTGTGGAGTGGGTTGGAGGACGAAAGCAGGATCGTGGCCACAGAGAACCTGTGTCTGGCATTGGCACTGAGCTCACACCACCGAGGCTCGCTGGTGTGCCGGAGAGGCACAGGCACCACAGTCCTGGTGGTAGGGCATGGGGGGGCCCGTCCCTTCCCTGCTGTGCAGTGCAGGCTGCACAGTGGGGGTTTGTTTTAGGAGCATCCTATGGGTCCTGATCCTCCCCTCGCTCACACGAGTTTGCTGTGACCCCAGTGGGGAAGGCCAGGCAGATCCACAGTGCCTTTGCACCCTTTGGGGTTGAGCAGGCAGGGGTACGAGCAAGGGCTGAGCAGAGGAGAAGCCCTGGTTCCACCTCACGCAGCGCCCACACTTTGCTGAACACCAAGCTATCCCCTCCAGCAGTTTGCCCATGGCTGGGATTTTCCAACACCCCAAGAGAATGGGGTGCCCCATTCTTGCTGACACTCTCCTGGGCATATCCAGGTTCCTCTACACTGATTTCTGATCCCATCTGCTGTACCCCAACGCTATATTTTACCATCTTCAGTATGTACTCACATTCATTTAAGAACAAAGACCCCTAACTGCCCAGGCAACCTTTGCACAAGTCCCCGGGATCCCAAGTGTAAATTTGATGGTGAGATGGGGGATGGCCTCACTGACACCCAGCATCTCTCACGACACTCATCTTTCAGCTCCTTGTGGGACAACACCACGCAGCAGAGGACTAACCACGTCGCCTTTCAGGGTCTCTGTTAGAGAGCCATTGGGCAACTATTCTCTAAGTGCACTGCATCATTTTAAAATTCTGCAAGTATTTTAATTGCAAAATGTTTGCTTTCCAGTTCCATTTATTGGGTCAAATCTTTGCTCAAGCCCATGTCAGCTTCTTAAGAACTGCATATAGGCCATTAAAAGAGCATTTAATCCTTCAATCTTAGGGAGGGTTCAGTGTCTTATATGCTAATATTCATTATCCTGGGAGGAAATCCCCCCAGGACACTGCCTGGCAAAGTTCCCTTGAAAGCAGAGGAGTTATGCCAGTTCAGAGTGGGGGAAGATCAGATTTGTTGGCTCTGTTAATATGGGTGTGATGAGCTTCTGACAAAGGCACTGAAGGATTCTGGCTCCTGACTGCAAGTCTGTCTGAATTTGAAGTCCTCCCCGGGACCGGTGTTTTACATGTTTCCTCCAAAGCTTTCTCCCTTGCACACTAGAAGTGTACTCCCACGACATCTAATATTAATGCTTGTCTCCAGGCCAAGAAAGAAATGTTTCTGCCCAAACTCCCTCTTAGATTTAGCAATGTCAAAACCTCCTTGTCTCCCACTGGTTTTACCACCAGTGTGAGCTATGAGGCACGCTGAGTGCTGGCCTGGAGCAGGTCTCCGGCTGAGCACTGGGCTGACTGTGAAGGTGAGATTTTTCACCCTCTTCCCCATTTCCTAGAGCCCATCCCGCCGACCTGCCAAGCTGCACTCGCTCCACATCCAGCAGCACCCTGAGAGCATCCGTGGTGGGTTGAGGGCTGGAGGTGTGGGCTGGGCTTCCAGCTGGCCCCCGCTGGGGTAGGTGAGCTAGGGGGGGTGTGAAGGTGTCTGGGGCTGGGGTAGGGGGGACTCAACTTTGCTCTTGCTCTGTATGCACGACAAAGGAATGATTAACAGAGAACAATTAATAGGAGATCGGCACTAAGGTCCCACATCAGGAACCCTCGCTTGAGAGAGGAATGCTTACAGACCATCACAGCAAACGGGACATGCCCAAGCACACGAGCACTTCCCCAAACTGGGGCCAGAGGTGCTGAAGTGGCAGATGGAGAGAGACGGATGGGGAGACAGACAGAAGAGTGACACACATACAGATGCAAAACTTTTCAGCTGCTACAAGTGGTGGCTGACCCCATACCTGCTGTGTACAATGGGCTCTTGCTGACCTCTGCAGGGATCTTGCACAGAACTGGAAGCACTTGCTAAAGCAATAGGAATTTTTGGTGCTTCTGAAAAAAGGGGGAATGCCTTTTCCTGTTTTAGGACAAGCTCCTCTGCTCAGGCTCTTCATAAGGCTGTTTGTAAACTTTACACTTAAGTTTAGGCTTTGGAGCAGTCCCTGTTCTGCAGAGCTCTGTAAGGAAAATGACCTCCCACTATTCTATTATGTCCCATATTGTTTTCGGTTGCATCAGCTGCAGACCAGTTATCTCAGTG